TCATGGATGTGCAGCCGACAAATCTGCTGCAACTAGGTGATGCCATCATGTCAATATGCGCCAATTCTCTGAGGAATATTTCCAGTACCTTGTTGAATCTGTGCCATGAAGGATTAAGGCAGTTCTGAAAGCAAAAGCAGGTTCAACCCATACAAAGTGGCCGGTGAATATATAAATGACCACAAATACAGTTGAAGTCAGAATTATTAGCCCCCCCTGAATTATTAGATCCCCTGTTTATTTTTCCCCAATTTCTGTTTAATGGAGAGATTTTTTCAGCACATTTCTAAACATAATAGTTTTAATAACTCATCTCTAATAACTGATTTATTTTATCTTTGCCATGATGACAGCAAATAATATTTTACTAGATATGTTTTAAGACACTTCTGTACAGATTAAAGTGACATTTAAAGGCTTAACTAGGTTAATTAGGTTAACTAGGCAGGTTAGAGTAATTAGGCAAGTTATTGTATAACAGTGATTTGTTCTGTAGACTATCGAAAAAATAAAGCTTAAAGGGGCTAATAATTTTGTCCTTAAAATGGTGTTTAAAAAATTTAAAACTGCTTTTATTTTAGCCGAAATAAAACAAATCAAACTTTCTCTAAAAGAAAAAAATATTATCAGACATACTGTGAACATTTCTTTCCTCTGTTAAACATTATTTGGAAAATGTTTAAAACAGAAGAAAAATTTAAAGGGGGGCTAATAATTCTGACTTCAACTGTATTATTAGATCAAACCCACCCAATTTAACAGCTGTATGAAGTTTACTTGCAATAAAAATCTCAAAATACATTCAAATATATTTGGAAGAAGTGGAAGGAGAGTAAATGATGGCAGAGTGTTTCATTTCCAGATGAACTATCACTTTAGGTGTCAAAACCCCTGTTATACGATCTTAGATTATAGGGTGCTCTTCAAATCTCCAACCCTTTGAGCGATGGTAATTTTAGCAGCACTAAAAACTGCCTTTTCTGCAGAAACTGAGATTGGTAGTCACACTCCTGACATATCTGCTTTTTAGCAGCGAGGGAGAGAAATAGAGAGAGCTTGTGCTTAGTCATTTTCAGAAACGCACAGAACACAGGTACAGACACATATCTGGGACAAAGCTCGCTCAAAGGCCTAAACTGTCATGACTAAAAGCTCCGCTGGCATCAAATCTCATGGCCTTTGACGTCTGTGTACCTCGGCGTTCAGGACAGTGTCGGATCGGTTTTAATGCAAAGGCAGTCGATCCTGCGGCGAACAACTGCTAGTTGAGTATGATGTTAAAGGACTAGTCCATTTAACAGAGGAAAGAGCGCTAGTCACTTTATATTTTCATTAGCAAGGGAAAGTCTGCCACCTTCTGGTGGAGGTATTTCACAACACACATCATAGTTTGCTTCCAAAGCACATCATTTGTTTAAAATAGTTATTTCTTACATTTATTCACTGAAGCAAATGATTCATTTGATTTACAATTACCTTTTTAAGGTGAGTGCTTGCAAACAATTCCTAAAAGCTGGAGTTAAACAGACAAATGCACTTTAGTCATGTTCAACTTCATTTGTTTAAATTCAGCCTATATAAACTGTTTGCAACCGCTTACCTTAAATTTAATATTTTTTTCCAATGTTGTTTTATTTGATTCATTTAAGTCGAAAAGTATAATACACTCTTTAAAACAGGTGCCAAGAAACATGACCAATTTTACACACTTTGCACTGGTTGCCTGCACTGTAAAACGTGAAAACCTCAACAAAGTACTTCGACTTGTTACAATTAAATGAATTAAGTTTGACAAACTTAACTTATGACAGTTTTCAGTAATAACTTAAGTTAGTCCTTTTGGGTGTAACAAGTTTTAGTAATTTATTTAAGAAAACAAGAATGGAACAGAACATACTGTACAGTACAAATCATTTCCATGTAATATAGTTAATATAATAATAATAGTTAAAATACTTTTATTACAGTACAAATAATTCCCTTCCCATGTAATATAAAAATAATACATTTATGTTTTGTGGCAAATACAAGTATCGGTCATTATTGATAGTGATAACTAAAAACCTGTTACACCTAAAATAACTAACTTAATTTATTACTGAAAACTATTATATGTTAAGTTTATCAAACTTATTTCATTTAATTGTAACAAGTCAAATTAATTTGTTTCCACTTTTTACAGTGTGTGCACTATCGAATCTTGTTTTTAAATCCCTAAAGGACCCGGCATCTTCTTATCTGTCAGACATGTTGACTGAGCATCAGCCTGATCGGTCTCTTCAGTTATCTAACCAGAGATTGTTATGTATCCCTAACTCGGGGCTGAAATGCAGAGGTGACTGTGCCTTTGCAGCTGGTCTTAGGTTATGGAATGCTCAGCCCCTCTGTATTAGATCTGTTTCCATCTCAGTTTTTAAATCTAGGTTGAAAACTCTTTGATTTGGCATTTTATTAATGAAAATTGTGTTAGCCTCTTCCAGCTGCAACCTAGTCTTGGAAATCACCCATACACTCTCATACACTACACTCATACACTACGGCTAATTAAGCCTATTCAATTCACCTGTACCGCATGTCTTTGGACTGTGGGGGAAAGTGGAGCAGCTGGAGGAAACCCACGCCAAGATGGGGAGAACATGCAAACTCCACACAGAAATGCCAACTGGCCCAGCTGAGGCTCGAACCAGCAACCTTCTTGCAGTGAGGTGACAGTGCTAACCACTGAGCCACCGTGCTGCCTATTTTAAGTATGTTCATCTTTTCTATTTTTTATAATAATAATTATGTTTCTTTTATTATTGTTATGTAAAGCATTCTGAATTACTGTGTATGGAATGTGCTATATAAATAAACGTAGCTTGCCTTGAACCCCAGAAATGCAATTATATTCACATAGACCAACTGAACAGCATTCTTGTCTGAAGTGTCTTTCAGATTTCTAGTGTATACTTTAAATCAGATTAAAATTTTTCAGGGCTCGGGTCATCTTGCTCTATCTATCTATCTATCTATCTATCTATCTATCTATCTATCTATCTATCTATCTATCTATCTATCTATCTATCTATCTATCTATCTATCTATCTATCTATCTATCTATCTATCTATCTATCTGTCTGTCTGTCTGTCTGTCTGTCTGTCTGTCTATATGTGTATACTGTATATATATATATATGTGTGTGTGTAATCAGTCTATTCTGTTGAGCGCTATTAAGCTATTAATGCTTGAGCACATGCTTGAGCCTTGAATTCATCCTAATTTTATTGTGATCTGAGCTACTTCAGAAAATAAAAAAAATTCTCTTCTGTTGCCTGTGGGAAAAAAAACTATTATAAAATATCTTAATAGATGAATGTGACTAATTTGTTCCATGTTAGAAATGCGCACTTGAAAATATTCTTTATATGAAATGTCAATATGTATCTCTAAAAGAACTGTTTTCTATGTGAATATATTGTTGAAGGTCATTTATTCATGTAATGCAATATATACAATTATCAATTTTACATGCAGGTATTGATTAGTTATTGATTGGTTTTTTTACACCACAATCGCTGTATTGCTGTCCTTATTTAACATCCAAATTATATAAATATATGCATGTATTTATTAACTTGCCTTTACCGATAAATAAATAGGGGTAAAATAAATTAATAAAAGGGGATAAATAGTCAATTGTATGCATAATTAAAAAAAATAGCATACATTTAAAGGGACAATTCACTAAAAAAATCTGTCACGCTTTTTCCAAACCAGTTTGGGTTTTTATGTTGAATACAAAAAGTTTTTTAAAATGTTAGTGAAAAAAAGTGGTTACCAGTGACTTCTATAGTATTTGTTTTTCTTGCTATGGAAGTGAATGGATGCCCATTTTAAAAGAGTTTTCTTTGTGAAACTGTTATGCATTGAAGAAGAGATAAACCAGAGCTGCGCCCCAAATGGCATACTATGTACTTATGCACTTACACACTCAACAGCATATACAAGTGCGTCCCAAATCGCACTTTTTTTTACACCATTTTGTAGTATAAACAGTGTAAGTAGTGCATTGACACTCAAAACTCCTAAAATAGTAAGTGCACTTTAAATACCCAGATGACAATGTAAGTAGTTATTCGTTGAGTGCGTCAAGTGTCCAACATTACAGTCTTCATTTTAATGGTTGAATCATTTGGGTTATTTGAAGAGCACAAATTACTTTTAGAGTTTTCAGTGTGAATGCACTACTTACACTATTTATTTTACAAAACGGTGTAGAATAGTGCATAAGTATGCGATTTGGGACACACCTCAAGAGATTTTTTCGCGTATCTTCAAAGCAGGATCCTTTAATGAGAACTCTCCATCTCTGTGTCGTTCATCCAAAAATTTGAACTACTGCAGCAAAGCACTCAGTTAAATACACAATTCAGTGGGAAGTGCTTTTTAGTGGAAACAGAAACTGTCATTACAGGTTTCCGGGTCTTGCCTGAAAGCAGGGGCGGACTGGGACAGCATTTTCAACCAGGAAAAGTTATTGAAGGTCAAGCCAAAATGAAGAGATGGGGGGGGTCGCGGTTGAGGGGGGGGGGTGGGGGGGTTGGATGAGCGTGATGCGCAATGTTTATGAAAAGATTAGAGGGGGTGTAGACGGCAGGTCAGAATCACAGTGGCAGGCTAGATAGACCTTCGGTGCTCCCTATGGCCAGTCCGCCCCTGCCTGAAAGTATCACCCGGCCATTTGTTAGACAAAAAAAGACTGGAACTTACACTAAGCATTATTACTTTGGAGACATGATACTGTATTTCCCGCAGGCATTCAGACCTGATGTGCCGAGAACTTACAATTTGTATTACTTTGCAGAAATGATACTGTCTCTTACACATAGTAAAACAATGTAAAAAAAAAAAACTAAGAAATTTGTAATCGAAAAGTGTTTAGGATGAAAAAACCCTCAAAGGTTTGCAATCTCTCGATGGAGAACAAACAGTGAGTAAATTTTCATCTTTAAGTGAACGATCCCTTCAAATATAATTTTATTATCATCAATTAAAGTATCAGCTGTACAGTATATGAGTGTATCATATTTAATTAAGATGTACCTGCAAGCATCCAGTATAATAGTCACTGCCAAATTTGAATTGAAACTTAAATTGACTATAAAATAGGACTCGTGTCTGTTCTCTTTAAATCTTCTGAGTGTGTGCTGCTGCTTAGTTGTGTTTATTATATAGTCTCTTGCATTGGTGTGAGTTTTAACTGCTCTTGTCCAGATACTCCAGGTTCGGGGCGTCCAGACGCTGCTCCATGTCTCTGTTTTTGGTGAACTCTTTCAGCATGTCCATCACCTCGCCCTGGTAAACCTCGGGGGTCGGCTGAGTGTCTGGCGAGACAAATACACAGGTCAAAAAACTTATTAAAACCCATTTACTACATGTATGCACGATATAGTCTTACTCAGTGCACACTGTAAAAAAAATCTCGCTGCCTACATTTTGTTGTTCAATTAACTGAAATTTTCAAGTCTTTTAAAGTTAACTTACAAACGGACTAAAAATATTAAGTTAAAACCTGAAAAACTGTTAAAATGAAAGGAACACTTCAATTTTTGGAGGAAATGTGCTTTATTTTTACAATACCCTTAGAGTTAAACACTCGAGTTTTATCATTTTTTAATCTTTTAATCCAGCCGGGCTTCGGGTCTGGCGGGAGCACTTTTAGCTTAGCTTAGCATAAATTATTGAATCGGATTAGACCATTAGCTTCTCACTCAAAACGTTCAAAAAAATACTTTCAATAATTTTCTATTTAAAGCTTGAGAGTATTTGAAAGTACACTCACTGGCTACTACACCATACTAGTACTGGATTGGACCCCTTTTTGTCTTTAGAACTGCCTTAATCTTTTGTGGCATAGATTCAGCAAGTACTGAAAATATTCCTCAGAGATTTTGGTTCATACTGACATGATATCATCATGTAGTTGCTCCTGATTTGTCAGCTACACATCCAGGATGCAAATCTTTTATTCCACCACATCCCAAAGATGCTCTATTGGATTTAGTTCCGGTGACTGTGGAGGCCATTTGAGTACAGTGAACTTAATTTCATGTTCAATAAACCAGTCTGAGATGATTTGAGCCTTATGACATGGCGTGTTATCCTGCTGGAATTAGCCATCAGAAGATGGGTACACTGTGGTCAATAAGGGATGGAGATGGTCAGCAACAATACTCATGTAGTCTGTGGTGTTGACACAATGCTCAATTGGTACTAATGGACCCAAAGTGTGCCAAGAAAATATCCCCCAGACTATTACACCACAAGCAGCCTGAACTGTAGATATGAGGCAGGATGGATCCATGTTTTCATGTTGCTGATGCCAAATTCTGACCCTAACATCCGAATGTCTAAGCTGAAATCTAGACGCACCAGAGCAGGCAATGTTCTTTTAATCTTCTGTTGTACAATTTTGGTGAGCCTGTGCGAATTTTAGCCTCAGTTTCCTGTTCTTAGCCGACAGGAGTGGCATCTGGTGTGGTCTTCTGCTGCTGTAGCCCATCTGCCTTAAGGTTGAATACCTCTGTTGTAATGAGTGCTTTGAGTTACTGCTGCCTTTCTATCAGCTGGAACCAGTTTGGCCATTCTCCTCTGACGTCAACAAGACATTTGCACCCACAGAACTGCTGCTCACTAAATATTTTCTCTTTTTCAGACCATTCTCTGTAAACACTAGAGATGGTTGTGCATGAAAATCCCAGTAGATCAGCAGTTACTGAAATACTCAGACCAGCCCGTCTGGCACCAACAACCATGCCACGTTTAAAGTCGCTTAAATCATCTTTCCTCCCCATTCTGATGCTCAGTTTGAACTGCAGCAGATCGTCTTGACCATCACTACATGCCTAAATGCATTGAGTTGCTGCTATGTGATTGGCTGATTAGAAATTTGCGTTAACAAGCAGTTGCACAGGTGTACCTAATAAAGTGGCCGGTGAGTGCATGTTCCTAGCTTAATCAGCCTAGAAAATATCAGCTTTTAATTTTCTGTTGGTCATAGAACAGAAAAGTCAAGCTAGAAATATTAAAATGATCAAAACTCTTTGAGTGAGAAGCTAATGGTCTAAATCGATTCAATGATTTATGCTAAGCTAAGCTAAAAACTGTTTCTTCCAAACCTGGAGACCGGCTGATAAAACTCAACAGTTTTTACTCTAGGGGACTTGTTAAATGAGCCTAAATCAAAACAAATGTGTAGTGCTCCTTTAAAATAATATAAAAAACATTTGTTGTCTGGACTTATGTATTTGACAGAGCAGTGCTTGGGGGTGCTTTCAATTGATAAAATGACTCAGTACATTCATTGTGTCCATTTATTTGTGTGCTGTCTTAATACATACCAGTTGCCCAGTAATAGATGTCCCAGTCATTGCTGGGTTCATTGATGAGTCTGTCGTACTGCTTCAGCTGAGATTCACTCATTGTGTTCAGGTACTGCTTTGCAAAAAGGCTGATTGCACAAATAAAAGAAGAAAAAAGTCCCAGTCAGAGTACTGTACTTTGATTTGGAGTTTAACACGTCAGTTTAATTTGTATTTAATTTAGTACTTGAAGATTTGAGGAATTACTGTGGATATTTTAGTATTGATGAAGTTCTGTCAAAATTGTTATTATTTTTTATTATGAGTTTATTTTTATGTTTTTATTTGAATTTTAGTGTTACAGATTTAGTAACACTAACAAAGCTATCCCTTAAATGACAGGACTTTCAATCATCTTGAGTGAACTATTCCTTTAATGACAGAATTTTCACTTATTTTTGAGAGAACTATCCCTTTAATGACAGAACTTTGATTAATTTATTAGTGAACCATCCCTTAAATGCCAATTTACATTAAATTTTTATTAAATATCCCTTTACTGAGTGAACTATCCCTTTAATGACAGAATTTTCCTTCATTTTGGGTGAACCATCCCTTTAAAGACAGAATTTTATTTATTTTTGAAGGAACTGTCCCTTTAATGGCATAATTTTTTGTGAACTATCCCTCTAATAACATACTTTACATTTGTGAGTGAACTATACTTTTTATGACAGTATTTTTCTTCATTTTGGGTGAACTATCCCTTTAATGACAGTATAATATACATTTTTTCGTTAACTATCCCTTAAATTACTTTAATGACAGAATTTAAATTTTGGGGTAAACCATCCCTTTAATGACAGAATGTTAATTTATTTTTGAGTGAACTATCCCTTTAAAGACAGAATTTGTCTTCATTTTGGGGTGATTTATCCCTTTAATGACAGTATTTTGTTTTGTTTGTCGAGTGAACTATCCCTTCAAAGACAGAATTTATTCATTTTTGAGGGAACAATGTTTTTAAAGCCAATTTACATTAATTTCTAAATAAAATATCCCTTTACTGAGTGAACTATCCCTTTATTTACATAATTTTCCATCATTTTGGTTGAACCATCCCTTTAAAGACAGAATTTTTATTTATTTTTGAGAACTATCCATTTAATGACAGGAGTTGTCCTCATTTTGGGTGAACTATCCCTTTAATGGCAGAATGTTCATTCATTTTTAAGTGAACTGTCCCTTTAATGATAATTTATATTCATCTTTTAATTAACTATCCCCTTATTGAAAGAACTAGTGTTGATTTTTAAGTGAACCATCCCATTGATGAAAAAATGTTCGTTAATTTTTGAGTGAACTGTTTCTTTAAAGACACAATTTGGCTTCATTTTGGGATGAACTATCCCTTTAATGAAAGAATGTATTAATTTTTGAGTGAACTATCCCTTTAATGACAGTATAATATACATTTTTAGTTAACTATCCCTTTAATGACTGAATTTTCATTTTATTTTTGTGTGAACTATACTTTAAAGACAGAATTTTGTTTTGTTTGTCGAGTGAACTATCTCTTCAATGACAGAATTAATTCATTTTGAGTGAATTATGACTTTATTGCCAATTTACATTAGTTTTTAAATTAAATATCCCTTTACTGAGTGAACTATCCCTTTAAAGACAGAATATTATTTATTATTGAAGGAACTGTCCCTTTAATGGCATAATTTTTTGTGAACTATCCCTCTAATAACATACTTTACATTTGTGAGTGAACTATACTTTTTATGACAGTATTTTTCTTCATTTTGGGTGAACTATCCCTTTAAGGACAGTATAATATACATTTTTTTTGTTAACTATCCCTTTAATGACTGAATTTTTATTTATTTTTGTGTGAACTATACTTTAATGACAGAATTTAAATTTTGGGGTGAACCATCCCTTTAATGACAGAATCTTTATTCATTTTTGAGTAAACTATCCCTTTAAAGACAGAATTTGTCTTCATTTTGGGGTGATTTATCCCTTTAATGACAGTATTTTGTTTTGTTTGTCGAGTGAACTATCCCTTCAAAGACAGAATTTATTCATTTTTGAGGGAACAATGTTTTTAAAGCCAATTTACATTAATTTCTAAATAAAATATCCCTTTACTGAGTGAACTATCCCTTTATTTACATAATTTACCATCATTTTGGTTGAACCATCCCTTTAAAGACAGAATTTTTATTTATTTTTGAGAACTATCCATTTAATGACAGGAGTTGTCCTCATTTTGGGTGAACTATCCCTTTAATGGCAGAATGTTCATTCATTTTTAAGTGAACTGTCCCTTTAATGATAATTTATATTCATCTTTTAATTAACTATCCCCTTATTGAAAGAACTAGTGTTGATTTTTAAGTGAACCATCCCATTGATAAAAAAATGTTCGTTAATTTTTGAGTGAACTGTTTCTTTAAAGACACAATTTGTCTTCATTTTGGGATGAACTATCCCTTTAATGACTGAATTTTTATTTTATTTTTGTGTGAACTATACTTTAATGGCAATATTTTGTTTTGTTTGTCGAGTGAACTATCACTTTAATGACAGAATTTAATCATTTTTGAGTGAACAATGATCTTAATGCCAATTTACATTCATTTTTAAATTAAATATCCCTTTACTAAGTGAACTATCCCTTTAATGACATATTTTTCATCATTTTGAGGTGAACTATCCCTTTATTGACAGAATTTATTAATTTTTGAGTGAACTATCCCTTTAAAGACAGAATTTGTCTTCATTTTGGGGTGATTTATCCCTTTAAAGACAGAATTTTGTTTTGTTTGTCGAGTTAACTATCTCTTCAATGAAAGAATTAATTCATTTTTGAGTGGACGATGTCTTTACTGCCAATTTACATTAATTTTTAAATTAAATATCCCTTTACTGAGTGAACTATCCCTTTAATGACACATTTTTTCATCATTTTGAGGTGAACCATCCCTTTAAAAAAATAATTTATTAATTTTTGAGCGAACTGTCCCTTTAAAGACAGAATATTTATTCATTTTTGTGTTAATTATCCCTTTATTGACAGAATTTATACATTTTTGAGTAAATTATCCCTTTACAGACAGAATTTTTATTCATATTTGAGTAAACTATCCCTTTAAAGACAGAATTTGTCTTCATTTTGGGGTGATTTATCCCTTTAATGACAGTATTTTGTTTTGTTTGTCGAGTGAACTATCTATTCAAAGACAGAATTAATTTATTTTTGAGTGAACGATGTCTTTAATGCCAATTTACATTGATTTTTAAATTAAATATCCCTTTACTGAGTGAACTATCCCTTTAATTACATAATTTTCCATCATTTTGAGGTGAACCATCCCTTTAATGACAGAATTTATACATTTTTGAGCGAACTGTCCCTTTAAAGACAGAATGTTCATTCATTTTTGTGTTAATTATCCCTTTAATGACATAATTTATTAATTTTTGAGTAAATTGTCCCTTTACAGACAGAATTTTCATTTATTTTTGAGTGAACTATCCCTTTAAAGACGATGTTCATTCATTTTTGTGTTAATTATCCCGTTAATGACAGAATTAATTTATTTTTTAGTGAATTGTCCCTTTAATGACAGAATTGACAATTTAATGACATTAATATTTGTGAGCTTTCTCTTTTATTTTTAAAGTTCATTCACTTTAACTGCAGGTGTAATCGAGGCTGTGTTGTGGTGTGTTGTGTCAGCCTGACCTGAGCAGGATGCAGTTCTCCAGCATGCCTCTCTTGCGGCTCTCGTACAGCAGTCTCTTCCTCTTGATGTCCAGAGCTTCTCCTGCTCTCTCCTGCCAAGGCGGCAACGGGATCTCAAGGATGGTCGGTTCTGGAGCATCGCCACGGTAACCTCGATAAACCACTGGACACACAGTGGGACGCAGAGATGCCCGACACACAGAACAAACAACCTGAGAATACAACACATATTAGACAACCATGAAAATCTGTTTGCTCCTGTCAACATAAACAATAATAAACACCAATAAATGTAGGATTCATCTGACATAAGCATAAAAGAAACCATCCTTTTGAACTCTCAGTGTGTATACTATTTTACACAGCATTATGAATGAAACACTTGTTTGTTTTTAGCACCATAATCACCTTCTGTGATTATTTTCAGGGCAAGAAAATTGTGTTTTTTTTATAATTAGTTTTTCTAATCAACTATAACTTATTAATAATGGCATAGTTAGGGCAGCACGGTTGCGCAGTGGGAAGCACGATCACCTCACAGCAAGAAGATTGCTGGTTCGAGCCTCAGCTAGATCAGTTGGTGTTTCTGTGTGGAGTTTGCATGTTCTCCCCGTATTGGCGTGGGTTTCCTCTGGGTGCTCCGGTTTCCCTCACAAGTCCAAAGACATGCACTATAGGTTAATTGGGTAAGCTAAATTGTCTGTAGTGTGTGTGTGTGTATGGATGTTTTACAGTGATGGGTTGCAGCTAGAAGGGCATCCTCTGCCTGAAACATATGCTGGATAAGTAGGTGGTTCATTCCGCTGTGGCGACCCCAGATTAATAAAGGGACTAAGCCGGGAAAAAAAATGAATTAATGATGGCATAATAATTGTGTTTTATCATAAAACCCAATCCCTTATATACAAAATCCTTATATATTTTAAATAATACTGAATCAAAATATAGGAAAAAATTATTTTCACTTGTTAATACTTACGTAAACATGGATATTATTTTTGGAAATCATAAACTTATGTATTTGCTGCAACGCATTTAATTTAAGTGGTGTATAAGCTTTTTAATACTATTATTATAATTTCATATTTTTTTATTTAGCTTATTTTAATCTGTTTCTGTTTTTTAATCAGATTTTACCTATTCATATAATTTACTATTCATATAATTTCCTATTCATGTAATTTACAATAAAGTGAATGCATTTTTATTTAATTCTATAATTCACTATGTAAACAACTTAACATGTTTACAAATGTTACTTTATATTTTCAGTTCTTGTTTTAAATGTTATGTATAAAACATTTTGATTATTAACAATGTTTTTGACAATTATGAATGCAGTAACTTGAGGAGGGGGAAGGAGTTTGCCACTTTCATAGTGTTTTGTCACAAGCTATTACAAAAGCGTGTATATATATATATAAAACAACATTATTTTTACAATAAAACCTTATAAGAAGAGGAGACAACAAAAATTTTAATCTGATGTTGATCTGATACACCATTAATACAACCTGTAGTTTTAGGTTTATAATTTCCATTTTAATATATTTAAATGTATATATGTTTTATACATTTTAATAGTTGCTTTAAATAGCTTTAAAGGTAATACCCTTATGCAGAATGACGATGATCTCTCTATATTCAGACACGTGAGGTCAAATAACATCTTTAAAATTCTGTCGCCACAAAATGAACACAAAGCACAAAAACATAACGTTACCTTTCTAGCGATATTTGCTGAAAACATGTTATCGTGTCGTTTCTTCCCTGCTTTAAGGCTTTAATAATCAGGTGTTTCCCTGTCTATTGCCTTTTCATTTTGAAGGAGAGTTTATGCAACTGTTTCGCAACGAGAGCCGGAAGCGCAGCCATGTTGGTAAGGTCAATATCATCTTCTTATTTGAAGGTTATTTGAATGTTGCTTTAAATATATTTTAATGTCGTGTGTTTTAACCTTTGATGTTTTTTTTTCTTCCAGACTGGCACGTGTAAGTTTAACAAAGATGAAATGACTAAACGTCGACATTTGTTTCCGTGGGAATGTATTTCTGTGAGCACTTATAAAACGGAAGCACACTCATTAATTTTTAAAGCAACAGTTACTGATTATCCGTCGAATTTCCATTTATTTCGCGTTTGCTAAAACAAAATTAAGCTCAAAATCTGTTTAATATCTTAATAACTAAAATTATATTCCAAAGCCTAAAAGTAATGCATTAATTCCTTACAGTTTAAATTGTATTAATGTATATGTAATGTAACTTAAATGAAATGTATTCCAAATAGAAATGACACTGGTTACAAAAATATTAATGGGGTGAAATTTGTTTCATCAAAATTATATAGAAATTTCATCTGTTTTATTACTGATTTAATTAGTTTCTGCTTTGGTCTGTTTCTGTAAGTAACGTTTACTTGTTGACATTACTTAAGTACAAAATAAATATGAATTTAATGTTCAAATATGTCATTATAACTACAATATGATGTTTAACTGATCCATTTTGCTTTAAATTGTAATTATAGCACTATAGATTAATAATTATAGAACAGTAATTACTTGTTATTATGAATGTATTTTTTAAGCTTTAGTATTATTACTAATTAGGTTTAAACTTATTTTGTGTATGTGTGTGAGACTAGTCTAGGGCTTTAACAAACATATTTTAGGTAGCTGTTTGGTTAATTTTAACTTTGTTTCAATTAAAAATGTGCTTTTTAAATAAAGTGTTTCTAAATGATTCAGTAGTATTGAACAAACTATCTGAACGACCGACTTAATGAATCACTCGTTTACTTGTTGACATCTCTCAAGTACAAAATAAATATGGATTTATTGTTCAAATGTGTTATCAACCACACTTCGGTATTTAATAGATCCATTTTTGCTTTAAATGATTATTATAATACAATAGCTTTATAATAATAGCACAGTAATTATCTGTTGTTTATTCATTTTTATGAATGTTCATAATTCATAAGCTTTAATAGTACGCTTTAGGTTTAAACTTCTGTGTGTGTTGTTATATCTTAGGTAGTTGTTTGGTTAGTTTTACATCTAATGTTTATAATTCAATTAAAAATGTGCTCTTTGAACAAAGAGAGTCAGTGTTTCTAAATGATTCAGTTGTTTTGAACTTCAATGAATCACTCATTCAGACAAAGAGTTATTCTCTGTTTATGAGACATTTGACAGGTGAAAAAAAAACAAGCAGAAGATACATTTCAATCTTTATTTAACAAAACCCTAATAAACAAAAATTCAACATCACAAGTGTGTTTCTTCAGATTTGGTCTAATATCCATGTCAGAACTCATGTCTGTATCTTTGAACAGGATCAAGTCTTTGAAAATATGAGGAGAGGCTGAGCGGGATTTTCATCTTCAAATGGCGAGGACGCTCCTCATTTCTCCAGCGGAGCATAATTCAACAACTTCTCAATTAGATCCACATGGGACAGAAGCATTCGGCGGCAGCAGTATCTCTTCAAACCCAGAGCATCAAGAGCGTCACTGTGAACAAAAAAAGTAAGATTTAGAGCAATGCTAATGCCATCACATGAAGAGTAAAGGCTTGCACACACCAGGACGCTTTTTACTCTCTCTTATTAATCAACGTTTTCCAATAAATTTTTCAGCGTTCAAACTGGGGCCTGTTTCAGTAAGGAGGTTCAAACAACTCGGAGTTTAAACTTGAACTCTGAGTTGATTTACCGAGAGATTAAAAACTCTGAGTTTTCGGTTTCAGAACAGCTGATCTGAGTTGGGTCAATCAACTTTGAGTAGACCAACTCAGAGTAAAGCGCGCGCACCGTGAGACATTATCAATGGAGCGCAGATATTACGAGTGACCATGGCAACATCTTAAAAAAAGAGATCAGCATTTCTTTCTCCAGCTGAACTTGATGTGCTCATGCAAAGTTATAGCAAATATGAGTGTATATATTTAAAATGAAGCAACCATCAGTGAAACAGAAACAGCGTGGGAAAACAGCTGCTCAAGTTAATGAGTAATTCTTAATTTTAAGTATTTAAACATTTTAAGTATAATAAAATAAGTAATGTAATGTGTGACGTTTATACTTTTTTCTAAACTTTTATACACTTTTATCAGTTTTAATAGATTTAACAGCGCACTTGTTATATGTCTGCCTTTTTATTGATCAAGTGATAGAGGTTGATATAACATTAAGAAGGTAAGCAGTAATAAAATAATTTAAACAGAATAATAATCCCATTAATCTAGTAACAGTGCCTGTCAAAGGTTAAGCTAATTATTTATGAAAAAAAGGACAAGCCTCGTACGTGACTTTGTTCTGTGTGTGCAAAAATGTAGGCAATAGCTGTGTTTTCATCAAAATATAGGCTATTACATAAATTTGTGCAAAACTGGAATAACGCCTAAAAATAAAGCAGCGTTTTTATCCAAAGAGTCGAAGAGAACACAATCGTCACTTCCTGATTAACTTGCGCCAAATATCAACAGTAAAAACAGAATCACTGCGGTAGAAGAAGCTGCATCAATGATTTTTTATTTAATTAATGTACCTGAGCCTCAGAAGACAATTGACACACAATGAACACGTGGGGGCGTTTGAAGCCAGACGCGGAGATCTTGACACGCTCCAGACGCTCGGAGGTAATTAATAATATAAACTAATACTGAAACAGTAAATGCATTTTAGATTGACTAAAACACCATTTAAGATGTTCTGCAGTGTGCTCAGTCTGCTGGTTTGTTTTTTCACACACATTTTTATCATCATCTCTAACAAACCATTTTTTAATGTACATACTGTAATTTAAGTGCACTTCGTAGTTTATGTGCATCTTATCAAATAAAAGTTTAACCCACTCAGTTATGCACTTGTTATATTATGCGTATTTTCAAAAGTTATGTGAATCATGACGTTTCCATCAATCGTTTTTATGCACATCTCCAAAATGAGCTCTAAAATAGGTGTGTGGAAATGTAAGACTAATGCGAGAAATGCCGCTTCATCTTTAAAAAAGGGGAGGAGACCGACAGAAACTCAGAGTTTAGAGAATAAAACCTGCTCCGGACCAGGTTAGATTCACAGAGTAAGTTACCACGGTAACTGACTCTGAGTTAAAGTTAACTCTCTTTTAGAAACAGGCTTGACTTACCCTGCTTTCTCGAGTTTAACAAACCTGCCATTTTGAAACAGAAAACCCAGAGTTTGTCTCATTTCAGGGTTAAACTACTCTGAGTTTTCACTTAACCTGCTTTCTGAAACAGGCCCCTGATGAACAGAGGGAATGCACAAAAACCCCATATTGGGGGTGTTTTCATCCACTTTGGGGTGATTTTGAGCCTTGGCCACAGCTTCCTCTGTTTCAGCAAATAGAATAATATTTGGTGACATCTTATTTTGACACATATTTCAAGGAAATACTTTGAACGTTTAAAAAAAGAAAAAGAAAAAAAAAAACACTCAACCCGACTACACTTTAGTTATGTTCGGGGTTGTTTTTGTCCCATTGACCTTTGTTACGACTGAAGTTTATTTATTTATTATTGCAGATTGTACTCTTTCTTTTGTCCCGCCTACTTGTTGTTTTTCTGTTGTCTCATATGCTCCCATACCAGCGTGATTCCCTGTTCTGAGTGGCTGCTGGTCTCAAAAGCCTGTATATAAGGGAGCTTCCGGCAGGGATCGGAGAGCTCATTTCTGTGCTTTCGGTGTTTGGAGTGGAGCTCCAGGGTTTCCCTCACCCCTCCGGCCGACGACCAACAACCAACATTGTATTGATGACCATCATATGTTAAAATATTTTTGAGAGTTTGAGCTTGTAGGGGTGACCTGCCTATTTATTTGATTACTTTTGACTTTATGTTAGGGAGTCAGGTAAGATTCTTGTATTTTTCTTTAAATAGTAATAGGTAATTTAGTGGATTTACTTTATAGATTCTTTTGTTTGTTATTTTTGCCTGTGGTCAACCTGAAGAAATGCTCATTTATATTAACCACCTTTTTCTATAATAAATCAATTCATATATATACTCTCAACAAAGTGTGTGAGTTTGGTTGTCGACTGAAGGGAATCTTTTGCTTTAAGTTTTGTTTTGTTTGGGAAATCCACTACCCCAACACATTTGTTTTTTCTTCGTTTATTATGCCCTTTTTGTTTCCCCTAGACTTGGGGCATAATACCTTCATTGTAATCACATTTTTTGATTGCAAAGCCACAATCGCATATAATCATGCATTATTGATTATTGCTGGTTTTACCTGTTGGGAAGTGGAACAATTATTAACTTTTACTGTTGATCATCAGTTGCAGAAAAAAAAATGAGTTTCTTGCTTATATATGGAGTATAGTGTGCATGTATGTGTAAGGGTGTAATCACACTATGCTATCCGAACCGTGCCCAGGCCCGTTTCCCAGATCGTTCGAGAAGTGCGAGTGCTCTGAATCGGGTGCAGTTGGCTGGCTTGAAAGAGGTGTGCCAGAACGTGGTTCACTTGGGCTTTGGTGCGGTACGCTTGTAGTGTGAGTAAAGCGCGTCTGAGCCCGAAACTGAAGTCAAGATGTGACTTTTACGGGATTGTTTTATATGGATTTATTAATCATTCCTACTTTTCAATGAAGGCAAACCCCTCACTGCACTACAGCTGCACCTTAAGCAAACCTCCTAATTCCTGCAGCACGAGGACTTTATGGTTGTTTATGAGCGTCAAAAGTGGCTGATCTTCTCGTGGAAATGTTGGACTGCGTGACACTCAAACGATATAACTAAAGCAATCTCCCCAGTGCTGAGCTTTTTTCTGTTAAACTGAACAGTCACATCATCGATGACGCATGCATGCTCAGGTTC